GCATCTGGAGGTTTCCATAACTCGCATCAAAAGGAGTGAGGTTCTTACCCATGAAAGCTTATGCTCCCAGTACTTCTGTTAGTCTCAAAGGTGCCACAGGACCCTCTGTTGCTTTTTACAGATTCAGACTAACACGGCTACCCCTCTGATACTTGACACCATGCAAGGCACTGCATTTAGCCGTATGGAATGGAAATCTATCAACTTTGATTCAGCTCTTGAAACCCCCATAGCTATTCATGATTTACACCTGAAGATCTCAGATACTCAGTGCACCAGGATAGGTTATAAACATTGTTCTGGGAGGAGATTAAAACTCAATGCTAACTCAAGCCCAAAATGTCCGTGGACTCTAGGATTGCCCGGGTATTAAACTGGAGTTAACAGACAGCTATTTTTCATTAAGACTGAGACCATAATGTGGTCTCAAACAGCTTTACTATGAATCTGCTGTCTATTTTCTAGTCATCTCCACCTTCCTGATCGCAGTCTGCTGTTCCCAACCATCCCACTGAAAAGAAGGTTCTAAACCATATTGAAATACACCATTCCTGCTTGACCTGAACCTTGCACTCTCAACAAACCTGTAAGCAATTCATCAAAGCCTCATTAGAATCCACAGTTCTGGTTAATTAACCCAGCCGGTCTGGGAGGGATGGTTAATTGTGGCCAATTAAACACACCTTTAATCATGCTTGTTTTCACCAGCCCTGCTTCACCTAAAGAGAATGATCTTGCAATGCCGCTGATGAAAGCCCATCAGTGAAAGACAGGAATAACATTTTCACACTTAACTAATTGGTAGGAAAGTTGCTGTAAGTGCTAGCTTTCAGTCTAGACCACCTCACCCCCATTAAGGAAACTTCATCTTCAATTTACCTTTAGAATATTAATGGTAAATATTAAGTTAAAAGCTCTATGGAAAGGTGCACTAGACCCATGGCTGTGAAAGCCTTGGAATTCAAAACGCCTCTTTTTGCATCTAGCTCTGTTAGAGGGATCCACATGTAAAGTTCAGCCATGAAATCCAAGTCTACCATGTGAAAAAGACACTTTTCCCTTAACACCAAAGCAAACCTTTACATGGCCTAGGCTTGAAGAAATTCAACCCTACTCCCCGTTATCTAAAGAGCTTGTTGAGTGGCTGGGCAGACCAACGTCTGGCTTGGGTTCACCATTGCATACATGCACAGCGTCTCCCACAGAGAGGCAGCACCTTTACGCTGGGCTGCTGTACCCAGACATGAGCCATCAGCTTGGGGGGGCTGCACGTTTCAGTAGGCAGTAGCCAGACCCGGTCCAGTTCTTGCATTTACATACACTCCTGTTTACAGGGGCAAGCCAGCCCTCGGAGCCCGCTGGAATGGGACGATCTCCGGGGAAGTGTTGGCTGGACTGGAAAGGCTGTAGAGACAAGAGCCTTTCCCTAATGCAGCTGGATGCAGGACCGGCAGGCGCTGCAATCAGGCCCCGGCGCTGCCCCCCACCACGCACCTGCAGCGGGCTGGGAAACTCTCCAGCCTCCCTGCAATTAGCCAAGGGGCGACGCGCTTTATCCCGTGGGGGAAGGGCCCCCAGGTCCCAGTTTAAAGAGGACACGCCCCCTTCCCTGCACGTGCCGGCCCGGCCCCAGCTGCTCAGTTCATTCCCTCAATCAGGGCCAGGTGCGAAAGCGGCGCCCTGGATCGCGCCTGCCCGAGCGCGGCCCCCGAAATGCCCCCGCCCGGTCGCCCCGGCAGGACGCTGCCCGCTTCGGCCCCGCATGGAGCCCTCGCTGGAGAACTACTGGGACCAGAGCCCGGGCCAGGTGGGTTCGCTCCGGGCCCCCAGCCCTGCTAGAGCAGTGGCAGAGCCCAGCACCCCAGCCAGTTGCTGCTGGAGGGTGGGGGCCTTGTTTGGGGGCGGTGGGACCCTGCTGCTCCCCCAGCTGGCCCAGAACTGGCTATGCTATCAACTTCCCCCCTTGTTTTCCTTCTCTCCCCCAATCTGGCTCCTCTCCAAGCTCCCTGGAGTACCCAGGGGCTAGGCTGAGCCCTCTAGCTGGCACTGAGTCCCTGCAGGGTTTCCTTGCCCTACTGCAGCGGGGGGGCTGTGGCTTTTCAGTCCTTTGCCCTTCCCTCTGGAGCCGGTCCGGGGACCTAAGGGGCTGCCCCTGTATTGCCAGCTGGGGCCTGCCCAGAGCATTCTGTCCTCTGCGAGTGGTGTCATTTAACACTTGGACTGCAAGTTCCTCAGGGCAGGGCCTCTCTGTTCTGTTTGTACAGCGCCTAGCACACTGCTGTGCTAGCCTGTGACGGGGGCTCCTGGGTAACAACGCCATCCCACCCATACAAATAATCCTATTGTAGGATTAGACAGTCTCCAGCTCCTCTCTGGGCTTCAGTCAGCTCCAACAATGAAAACAAATGAGTGAGATTCACCCTGACCTTCTCTGTTCCCAAAAGCTCGTCTTTAAAACTTCCACACTGTGGGACAAGAGCCCTAAGGCAGAGGAGCAGCTGGTGTCTTAATTCCTTGTCCTCTAACTCTGCCTAAGTCTACTCAAGGTGCTGGGGCCCCCAGGAGGGCTCTCCTCCTCACCACTAACACCTGTGAGAGTGAACAGGTGGAAAACATCTAGGAAATCTCTTTAGGATTAGAGAGGCCCTTTTGAAGTCTCACGCACTGTAGCAGGGTTCTGCAGGTTTTTAAGGACCTGCCTGGGCTGCAGTGTGGCCTGTGTTAAGAAGCTCTTCTGAAGAACTGAGCTCTGTTCAGGTAGTAGGTTGAGTCTGGCCTGTGCTAATCAGGCAGAGGGGCAGGTTCCATTTTTTGTAATGGTGCCTGCAAAGGTTCAGATTTTTTTTTTTTAATGGTAGTCGAACACCATTTTTAAACTGTGTTCAACTGTTCATCAACTGTTCTAATAGCCCTCCCACTGTTGGCAAGTGGTTTTTGGACAGACACCTCATTGTAATGTGGAGAGGACCTAAATCTAACCTTCTAAATCAGAGGTGAGCAAACTACGGCCCACGGGCCACATCCAGCCCACAAGACCGTCCTGCCTGGCCCTTGACCTCCGGGCCGGGGAGGCTAGTCCCCAGCCCCTCCCCTGCTGTCCCTCCTTCCCCTGCAGCCATGCAGGCAGTGCTCTGGGCAGCAGGGCTGCGAGCTCCTGCAGGGCAGCATGGTAGCGTTGCTTTGAGCGGCATGGTAGGGGGCGGGGGCCAAGGGATTGGCTAAGAGGTGGGGGCTCCCAGGGGGCAGTCAGGGGACAGGGAGCGGTTGGATGGGGCGGAGGTTCTGGGGGGTGGTCAGGGGACGGGAGGGAGGGGTTGGATAAGTGTGGGAGTCCCAGGGGGCCTGTCAGGGAGCAGGGGGTGTGGATAGAGGTCAGAGCAGTCAGGGGACTGGAAGCAGGGGGGTTGAATAGGGGGGTGGGGTCCTGAGGGTGATTAGGGGTGGGGGGTCCCGGGAAGGGGCGGTTAGGGGACAAGAAGCGGGGGGGGGGGTTGGATGGGTTGGAGGTTCTGAGGGGGCAGTCGGGGGTGGGAAGTGGGAGGGCTTGGATGAAGGCAGGGTCCAGGCTGTTTTGGGGAGGCACAGCCATCCCTACCCAGCCCCTCCATACAGTTTTGCAACCCCAATGTGGCCCTTGGGTCAAACAGTTTGCCCACCCCTGCTCTAAATGAAGTAATTATGGTGATAGGTAATGGGTAGGGAGAGGGCCAGTAGGTGCTCCTGATAGTTATACTGGAGGAGGAAAAACTAAATGGCCTGGAATCACAGAGCTGGGCATATATTTAACCCATGGAATGTGTCTTCTGTTGTTACTCAGTCCTCCTTCTGTTGTTTCTCACTAATTCATTGTCTGGTCTTAAGCTAGTCCTCAATCCTCACACTGATCCATGCAGTTTGAACCCCTGCACCCGAGGACCTCTCATGCCCAGGCAGAACCCCTTTGAAATCATAAGCTTCTGCCCAGTTGCAGAGAGGTCCATTTGCAGTGTTGGGGGATTTACACTATAAACTTTCTGCCGCACGAACCAAATCTTCCTGCGTGTCTGAACAGTGCCTAACATCTGGGGCCTGATCTCGATTTTTGGCCTATGTGTGGTGGTACTACAATACAAATGATAAACTCATGGCAGCAATTGTTTGGGGGTATATTGTGGCTAAAAAAAGCCCCCCCCCCCAAACCTATCTGGGGTCTAAATCAGTCTTGTCCCCATTACGCTGTACATGGACAATATCCCTCTACTACCAACAAACGGCCTTAAATTGTAGTGATCTCTCAGACAGGGTATAGGTGCCAAGCTTTCATTTCTTCAGGGAGGCAATAGGAAACCCTCCAAACATACATTGCTGATGGCAGAGATAATCATCAATCAAGTCAGCTAACCTAGAGTACGTTGCGTAAGGCTTGGCAGCCAGTTAAGTATAAAACTTGTCTTGTGCTGCTTTTCCCTCTTCTCTTCCACAGCATGGGATGTCTTTCCCTGGGCTTTTAGTCTGTCTCCCCCCACACATGGAGGCCAGCTTTCTATTTAATACATCTTTAATTTTCGGTCTTCTTTCCTTAAAGAATTTCATTCTTTGAATCCACCTTTCTCATGAAATTGCTTTCCTCTCATTTATTTTACCCCATTATTTTCTGTCCCCCTTTAATAAAAAAAACAAACAAAAAAACACACTTTATACTTCCCTGTGGTTCTCACATTCCACTAACTCCTCTCATCCATCTAAGCCTCTAATTGATTGACTTTATTCTGAGAGTGTCTGCTTTGATTCACCTTATGGGGGAGCTGAAATATCTCCCAGGCTCTATAGGGAAGGAAAGAGCATTGCATCTAAAGTTCCATGTGTTGCTTTCTCCTCTCCAACAAGCAGCAGCTGTGGTGGTATTAATGAACTGACACATAACTAGGTTAAGAGGAATAACTGGGTTAAGAGGTATGGTTGCCATCTAACTTCTGGGCCTCATTTTGTCTGGCAGTATGTCATTTTGGGCACAACTTTGTCCCATTTGGGGGATGGGCCTGAATGTTAGAAGCAAATAACCAGGAAATTGTTCATTCACTTTTGTGGAGACACAGACTTGTATAAGTGGTTACACTAGTAAGCAGATATTTTCTTTGTGTGACTAATTCTGGGATTTTTCACAGACTTTTAGCTGGTATCACTAAAGTATGCAATCTTGCTGCAGTGTGTCAGTTGTTTTGTGGAAGCTATCTTTCTGTTCTGAGAGTCCTCTTTATACTGCCTGCTTAGGGTGTTGTAGCAATCTAAGACTTCCCCTCCCCCTGGCTAATATGAAACACTATGTATTTTAAATTGAGAGACTAATGCCAAACTTGCTAGGGGCTCTCCTGTATAAATGCCTGCTTATGTCTTAAGCAACAGAGGGTCCTGTGGCACCTTTGAGACTAACAGAAGTATTGGGAGCATAAGCTTTCGTGGGTAAGAACCTCACTTCTTCAGATGCAAGACTTATGCTTATGCTTATGTCTTATCACTTTCAGATAGTTTGCATGCCACCCAAGTCCATGATGCTAAGGTGTGTTAAATACAGCTGGTCTCTTGCTTTAAGGCAGGACCTCAGATACAGAGTGCAAAGGGCCTTCTGTAATAATGCCTAGACTTTTGCATGAGTTGTCAAACTCTTTGTGCAGAACCTGAATGTGGGGTTTTTATCTCTAAAGGACAGTTCTAGGTACACTGTATTTAGAGCCTTATGAATACTTAGGGCTAAAAATAGCTTCTATGGCACCTTTAATGAGTGATCACAGTTCCTGCTTGTACCTGCCAAGCTAATAAAGGGCACCTGTCTACTTTTTTGATTGAGTAAAATTTCCAAAAAGGGTCTAAGTGACTTGGGTGCGTAAGTCCTGTTGACATTCAAAGTGTATATGTTATTATGCAGGATGTGTCATATTGGATCAGACCAGTGGTCCGGTTCAGTCAGTATTGTCTGTCTCCAACAATTGCTAATATTAGCTGTTTCAGAGGATGGTGCAGAAGGCTGTTATTTAATAACTTGCCCCTAGAGAAAGTGTGTTCCTAGCCCTCGTTAACTAGCAGTTGGTTACATGCTGAGGCAAGAGGGTTTAAATTCCTCCCAAACTGTTGCCTTTTTTAATATTATAAGGCATTATACATTTGTGATACAAAGCCAAACAAATGGTGATGGAGGACAGGGCTAGAACTCAGGAATTTGTGATTAGGAAATGCCGTAGGCCTTTACCACTTGATCTAAAGAAGAATGTTAGCTATGGTAGCATTCAGGCATTTATTTCTCATAAATTAGTCATAGATTCAAATACATGGCCGGTGGAGCCTATCAGGTACTGTGTAATAGAGAGCAGTGATACACAGGCCAATACATTTATTTATTCAGTTGTGAGCTGTTCAGGGAAAACCTGAAGATGGATTCCTAGATTATTATCTATACTGAATGGAGACTAGAGCTAGTCAAAAATGCCAATTGTCTTCCATGGAGCAACTTTGAAAAATGTTTGAGGTTTCCCCCCCAAAAGTTATCAAAAATACTAGAAAGGATTTGTAGAGAAACCCAGCCCCCAAACCAGAACATTGACCCAAATAATTTAGTAAAAAAAGCCAGTTTTCACTTAAATTTATTTCTAATAAGTTGATCAGCTCTAACAGACGTTAATACATTTAAACGTCTGTCTAAATAAAGCCTCGTGAGAAGTGTCAAGGAAGAGCACCTTCTTGGGAGATCCGGTCACTTATTTTTGTGGGTGCTTGCAGGGCTCAGCACGTGTTGGGCCTGGTTTTCCAAAGTGTTAAGCAGCTGCTGGCGCTGGGGTGGGTGCTCAGCGCCTGTGAAAATCAGTTGCCTTGTTTCCCGAGACCCCCGATCACTAGCAAGTCTTGAAGCTCGTGTAACAGGTGAAAAGACACTGAGTGGTCCCTTTGATCAGTTAAAAGGTCATCCCTGCCATCTACTGGACTCGATCTGCCCTTACATTCAATAAACAAAGGCTGTATGGGACATATACAGACCCTTGTCTAGTGCCAGGTACCAAATGTGTGTAACTGAGACGATGCCGAGGAAAGAAGATATTTCTGCACTCCACAGCGATTAGCTTTAAAACTTCTAGCCAAGCGATCACCTATTCGGCTAGTAGTATAGGAGCTTCACTTTATCACTGAACTCCTAAAACTTGCACAGTAAGTAGGGTGACCGGACGCCCCATTTTTAACGGGACAGTCCAGTATTTAAGCCGCCCTGCAGGCGTCCTAACTCGTTCTTAAAAATGTTTCCCCGTACTATCAGTACAGGTGGGTCCTGCTGCTGGCTGGATCCCTGCTTGCCAACCGTCCGCCCACCAGCAGTGAGGAGGGTGGGGGCTGGGTCCAGTGGCAGATGATGGGGGGTGGGGGTGCAAGGCTGGTGGTGGGGCAAAGCTGCAGCACCCTGCTGGGCTCAGCACAGCCCCCACTGTGTGCCAGCTCTGTAGTGCGGGGGAAAGCGATTTCCAGCCTGTTTCTCCCCTGAACCTGCAGGTTCCACAGCAGCACCCCGGGCAGGGGCTTAGCACCCTCTTCCCGCCTCTCTCCGCACCACCCTGGGTCCTGCTCTGTCCCCTAGGCTCCCTCCCCTGCTGAGCCACCTCTCTGGCCCGGTTCACCAAAGCCCCTGCAGTTGGGTTCGCTGGGCCCTGGTGCACAATGCATCCTTAGGGTTTAACCCCTTCCTGCGGGCACTGCAGCTGGGGGGGACAGGAGGTGGCTGGGTTATGTCCGTGGCCAGCAGCAGCAGCTTGGAGGTGTTAGCTGCCTTTGAATGCTGTGCGGGCAGGAAGGGATGAACTCTGCAAAGAGCTGGGCCAGGCCATCCCTCCCCCCGGCCTGCTCCCCTGCGGCTGGAAGCAGCTCCTGTCCCTTCCCTCTCCTCCTGCACAGTGCCAAAAGGCTGCTGCTGGCGGCCAAATTCTGATGTGAATCTGATGCCTGGCAGAAATCTGGGCGGGGGGTGGAATGTGACCATGTGTGTCTCTCTTCCCACCCCCACCCCCCCCCGGCACACATTGCCTCAGGAAGATACGTGCCAGGTACCAGGAGAGGCAGGTCCATCCCGGGGGCCCAATTAGGCCTGGAGGCAGAGAGCGCTGGGCAGATAGGGTCAGTCACTCAGTCACACCTCTCCATCCCTGCTGTGTGAGAGGGAGTTGGGGGGGGGGGGTCATCTCCCTATGAGGGGGGGAGGTAGGGGTGTGTCACCCCTCCCAGTGTGAACCCTAAAGTCTTAAAGATAAGAAGGTAAATAGAATCCAACTACATGGTATTTCTTTACTGCGGTGACTTAACTTGCCAGCTGAGAACTCTTCTCAAGTTTAAATCCATCGGAGAAGCTGTTGGGTGGGGGGTGGGAGTGCAATTTTGAAAGGCTGCTGTCCAGTGTGTGCTTTGCAGCCTTAAATCTTTTGTCTTCACAATAACCCCTTGAAATAAATGTCTTCCTCTGGCCATCACACACAGTTCATGAATGCTGACCTCTTGGTGTTATGGTGTAGCTCGATCTAGCTTGTGTAATAACAAAACGGTTTGGAAAAACCCATAGAAATCCTCTGGCTCTTACACGCTGACCTCCGTGAGAGGAGAGGGAGAGAAGTCACTGAAGTATGAGCCTGTAAAGCTATTTTTGACAAACTTTCACACTTTAACTTGAAAGTGCTCTGTGTGACGATGGAGTCGTGATGGGGAGGAATATCTTCTTTGAATTCATTGAATGGAAAATGCATTTCTTGAGCACCGTCATTTGAAGTAAATGAGATCTTGTCTTCTAAAACATGCTATAATCTTTTCTTTTAAATGAAGGATGACCTTTCATCAGCTGGTCCTCAACTATACACTCCCATGAGCCCTTTTGACACAGACCTACCGATTCAAGCCGCTCAAAGTGCATCATTCGATTCTCATCTTGACCAATCCAAAGAACTTTCTACAGACTTCTCTTCTGTGGATCTCAGCTTTCTTCCAGATGATCTTAACCAAGAAAATGGAGAACAAACTCATTCGGAAGATGGTCATGAAGTGCAAAGAGAGCAATACAGGTCACAGTTGACAGAGCAGGACAGTGGGTTCTTAAATGACAGCAATTTGTCACAACTGAGCTATGGGGACGCAACTCAGCCCTCACCTGAAACATCTGGTGCCTGTCCCCCTTTGACACCTATGACTCCTATCACCCCAATGACACCCGTTTCAGAAAGCTCTGGCATAGTTCCTCAGTTACAGTAAGTAAACTTAAGCTTAGAGGTGTGGGGGGAGGTGGTACCATGTACATGAAGAAGGGCTAAAGACTAAAATGAAAAGGGAGCGAATTGTAGAAATATAAATAGTTCATAAACAAATAGGTGAAGTGTGGTTCAGGCTTCAGTAGTGAAAGCTTCTCAAGGCAAAAGAGGTCACGTGGTCTCCAGGCAAGCCGTGTCCTTGGCTTAGCATTGGGAAGACTCAAACGACCTCCTCACGTGCGCTGTGTGTAACTCCTGCCTCTGAAGGAGCTGCAACCCTCCTCTGCTGGGCAAACTCCTGTCGAGAAAACAATAGTTTAATGTTAGTTAAATTTCCAAGGGCCCTCAGCCACGGCCCACACACTAGACTGCAGGAGCCAAAGTAACAGTACTTGAAAAGTAGGAACTCTTTAGCCAGACAGGTGTTCAGTACCTGTTGTCACCATAGGGGTCTACAGCGTAGCCACCAGTTGGCTGGTGAGGCTCCTGTTTGGTCTAACTGCTGCAGTGCTCCATTGAGGGAGCTGAAATAGTCTCTCTGTGACCCCAGCGGTGGTGTGGGGAAGGGAAGGGCACAGCTGCAGAAGCAGAAAGAATCCTGAGCTGTTCTAGCCTATTAGACTCTAGGCCAGGGTGACATGAGGGTAGTTCACGGACTACTTCCAGAGTGCAACTGTAACTCTGTCAATGTTCTTAGCTATAATAATACAGGTTAAAGACACACAAGCCTATGCAGCTGTCGTACTGGAGGAAAAACTAGCATATTCCGTGGTTGCAGCAGTAAGGCACATTTTACACTTCCTCTTAAAATCTTGCTTTTGGCATTAGACCGCTTCTGTTACTGACTTTCAACAAATAATTTGCTATATATGAGTTTTGTGGTGGACTAGTCACTGAATGGTCAGGAAAGTAATAGGAGGTAACAATTAAATGTATTGTGATTTCAGACTCTCTTTTTAAAATAGATCACTTTGAGCTATGATTTTCTAAAAACATGTATCCGCTTTCTTATTCCTTCAGGAATATAGTGTCCACTGTAAACTTGGCTTGTAAACTAGATCTGAAGAATATAGCCCTGCATGCCAGAAATGCAGAGTATAATCCAAAGGTGAGATTTTAAAGAACCATTTCGTTGGGAGTTTATACTTGAAGGCATGGATTCCACTTTACACTTTTTAATCACCTGATTGTCCCTTCTTTACTAGCATACTCAGCTCATTAAAAAAGAAATGAGTTGAATTCAAGTCAGTAAAAGCTTTTGCAGACTCAGATATAGTCCGTGAAGGTCAAACATCTTTGTCGCCTTTTTTATTATCCTTGCAGTTCTGTCTTGCTATGTGCTGAATAAAGCATTTATGGAATGATCCTGCCACAGGATGCCTGGCCCTTTAAAAGGAATTGTGGGCCTGGCCTCACCTGCCACTGATGAGCTAGGGGTCAGGTTGAGGCTAAAAGCCAGCAAATGGGACAGGTGGGACGGGGGAGCTGCTAGAAGCATGGAGGCTCTGGCAGGAAGCACTTGGGTCAAAGGGGAGCTCCAGAAAGCAGGCTGGCTCCTGTGAGGCCCTGGAGCAGGGTAGAACTGTCAGACAAGTGGCTTGTACAGTAGAAATGCAGAAACCCCTGCAGAAGACCCCAGGTTGGCAGGGGGAAAATGGATGACTGATGTGCTATGCTGGTTTATGTGGAAGAAACAAAGCTCAAGGCCTGAACCAGCCTGTGGGGGGTGTTGTCACTCCTTCCTTGCTGAGGGGACAGGCCCGCAGTTTACAGGTCCCTTGAGGCTGCTTCTTCGGGCTGGTCTACACTGGGGGGGGGATCGATCTAAGATGCGCAACTTCAGCTACGTGAATGGCATAGCTGAAGTGGAAGTATCTTAGATAGATTTACCTTGGGTCCTCACGGCACGGGATCGACGGCCGCAGCTCCCCCGTAGACTCCGCTACCGCCGTTCGCTCTGGTGGCGTTCCAGAGTCGACGGGGAGCACGTTCGGGGATCGATATATCGAGTCTTAACAAGACGCGATATATTGATCCCTGATAAATTGATCGCTACCCGCCGATACGGCGGATAGTCTGGACATACCCTTAGAGTTGAACTTTTCAGTGCTAAACAAACACATGACCGTCTCAGGTGTGAATTTCTTAAAGTGGTACAGTATGTTTGATAGTTGTAACGGCACTGAAAACAGCTCTTTTCCCCATAGTGCTGGAACTAGGGATGCAGGGGGCGGTGCAGCACCCTCGACTTGAAGTGGCTTCCATTATATACAGGGTTTACAGTTTGGTTCAATGGCTCTCAGCAACCCCACTGTAAAAATTGTTCCAGCGCCCCTGCATTTCCCCTATTGCAATCATGAGTAGAGACTCCACTTCCCAATAAGGGGCTCGATGATCAGGAACAACTCTGTGTGGACACGCTTATTCCAGATTATAAATACCTTGTTCCTGTTTAGCTTAATTCACTGTGGGCTAAGCACGGAGGGATGAGACTTCCCTATTGGGAAGCATTTCTTCATGATCTTAAATTACACATGTAGATAAGCCAGCAGATTTATAGCAAAGCTTTCCCCTGAAGTTTCAGAATGGAGGCCTTAATTTGGAGGAAGGGATACTTAAGTAAATAACATACTTCTTACCAAGTGTGCACCACAACAAAGAATTAAGCATAACAGCACTTGTAGTTTTCAGAGCAATGTTTGAAGCTGTCTTTGATATAAAGGGAAGGTTTTAAATAAAACCCTCTTAAAGCTTGTATTATTTACTATGAAACTTGTAACCAAGCTTGTGTCAAGTTGGTACCAAGTTAATATTCTAATTTGTATTACTGTAGTAGCCAGCGCCCCCGTCATGAACCAGGCCCCCCACGAGTATTCTTGTTTGACTTTTAATCTCTAGAGGTTTGCTGCTGTGATAATGAGAATCAGAGAACCAAGAACAACGGCCCTTATATTCAGTTCCGGCAAAATGGTCTGCACGGGAGCGAAAAGGTAGGAAACGTTTCTTCTGTCTGGCTCTAACAGCAGATGGCATTCCGGGACAAATTGTGACATTACCTGCCTGTTCCACAAAACGCAACATCCCAAGACCAAAAAGGCGGGGAGTCGTCACTGAACATGTCTACCCGTCGGTAACGGGAGCTCTCGTGATTGCTAAACTGCACGCTGCTGTTCTGAACTATAAATTGAGCTGAGCCGCTATTAATAGAAAATCACTAATAACGAGTAACTTCCATTTCCCACTCAGTCCAAACATTGCCTCAATGTAACCTGTGTGGCTGTCTAGAGTCTCTAAGTAGATGTGCTCAAGTCTAGCTGAGGTGCCCTCATAGCACAAATATTCTGCCTGTTTTGTGTGTGTGTGTGTTGTTTTTTTTTTTATCCTTGCCCTCTGTAGTTCATGCTCTTGGTCCTTAAGCCCCTCCCTCTCTCCCCCTTGTTATCCTATTCTTTCCTGAGGGGAATCGCTGGGTCTTACTTCAGAACAAGCATTGCTGTTTTCTACTTTAAACTCTAGCTCGTAACTTACACCCTGTAATATCTCTAACCACCAAGGTGCTAGATTAGTTTCCCGGAGGGCTTCCTAATCTTACTGGGCCAGATCATCAGTGCTACTCCAGCACAGAGATGGGGAAACTGGCTTAAATGGCCAACTGAGTTTTCCTCCTGCACAGGGGAATGAGTGGCATACACTAGAACCCTGCACGGGACTGGTCTTTAAATCCACTCCCATCCCACCCCACAATGCGCACTCCAATCCGCTCCCACATTTTCTTGCATTTTTAATCCTGCTCCTATCCGCAGATCCCACAAGAGACAGATTCCCCCCATGCTATTTTTAAAAAGTCAGTTAAATATATATATATATGTATATAATGGAATTCCAGACACAATTTTTACTACTAAAAGAATAAAAACAAATCTGGATTAAACCATGCAGAAAATACTTTAACTCCTGCTAGAAAATGTCTATTATCCCTCACTTCACATTAAGTATTAAAACCTTTATTTAAAAAAACACAAAAATGTACTTTACATTGTCATAAATAGAATATCAGCAAACTGACGAGATGAGCGTTTTTCTGCAAATTTCCACAGTCTGACCTTTTTTTTTTTTTTAGAGGGGGGGTCCCACCCAATCCTGCCTGCAACAAAGTACATTTTACCCTCTCCGGCTATTATAGCAGTGGTCTTGCTGGACCTGTGGAGTCCCGCTACATGGCTCTAGCATTCACCTATATAGCCACTTGTTTCTGGTGCCCCCTTCCATGCAGGGGGTGTAATAGGAGTGCCTTGTGTTCCAAAAATCCTGGGACAGTACAAAGGCTTCTGGGTGCTTTTATCAGCATGTCCTAAATTCGGCTGCTGCTCTTGGGAAGCATAAGCTAGCTCTGGACCAACCCCCTTCCATAGCAGAGAGACCTGGTGAGAGCTGTGTGAATAAGTTCATTTTTGTTCAAGCTCAAACGCAAGATTTTGTGTTGATTTTGAGCCTTTGTAACACTTTTATTATTATTAAAATGAAATGAAATTTCTAAACTGTCATTTAGAACCAAAAAAATTGAAATGTTTAAATATTTTGGTTTGACATTTTCTAAATGTTTGGTTTTTTGGATGGGAGAATTCCGTGAAACCAACATGATTTTGCAAAATGCTTTCTTGCTGAATGTACTTTTTTGCTCCCCCCCCCCCTCAAAAAAAATTGTCCAAAAAACTTAGCCCTATCCTTTCTTCTCTTGTTGTTGAACTTTGTAAACTCATCTGGGAGGAAGTTCATAAGGAACGATGCACATCTGTGGTGCCGTATAACTGGGGCCCTACCAAATTCATGGTCATGAAAAACGCATCATGGACTGTGAAATCTGGTCTTTTGTGATATATATATTTTTAACCCTATACTATACAAATTTCACAGGGAGAGACCAGCGTTTCTCAAATTGGGGGGGATCTGACCCAAAAGAGAGTTGCAGAGGGGGGGTTGCAAGGTTATTTTAGGGGGGCTGCAGTATGGCCACCCTTATTTCTGTGCTGACTTCAGAACTGGGTGGCCAGAGAGCGGTGGCTAGTGGCCAGGCGCCCAGCTCTGAAGGCAGTGCCCTGCCAGCAGCAGCAGCAGCACAGAATTAAGGGTGGCAATACAATACCATGCCACCCCTTACTTCTGCGGTGCTGACTTCAGAGCTAGGCAGCCGGAGAGTGGCAGCTGCTGACTGAGGGCCCAGCTCTGTAGGGAGATATAAGGGTGGCAATAGCACACCATGCCATCCTTACTTCTGTGCTGCTGCCATCAGCCGTAATACTGCAACCCCCCCTTACAATAACCTTTGCAACCCTCCCACAACTCCTTTTTTGGGTCAGGACCCCTACAATTACAGCCCCGTGAAATTTTGGATTTAAATAACTGAGATCATGACACTTATGATTTAAAAAAATCCTACGACCATTAAATTGACCAAAACGGACTGTGAATTTGGTAAGGCCCTCCATATAACCTAGTGCTGCAGCAATGCAAGGCCTTCCTCTTTACCTCTGATCCCATTCCTGGATCTGTAGGAACTGGTTGCAACACACAATCTTTGTGGCACTTTAAAACAAACACCCATGTAAATTCCAGCTGCTGGACCATAAGGACACTATACCTATTCAGGATCTTGAGTCTGGCCTGCTCTCTGAGTTGAGGACACCAAACTCTCCTATACACAAGATGGGATTGATCAAGGCCAGAATGTGACTACAGCCAACAAGGCGTGGGGGGGGTTTTATTTAAATTTCAGGATAAGGCTGTACATCCAGAAACCATTAGACCTCAAATTCCTGTTTCCATCTCTGTGCTCCCTGCAGTGAAGAGCAGTCCCGGCTTGCGGCTAGGAAGTACGCACGTGTGGTGCAGAAGCTTGGGTTCCCTGCCAAGTTCCTGGACTTCAAAATACAGAATATGGTGGGCAGTTGTGATGTGAGGTTCCCCATCAGGCTGGAAGGATTGGTTCTAACTCATCAGCAATTCAGTAGGTATGTGGGCAAGGGGGTGGTGACTGGCAGAGAGAGGTACCAGGCTCCTATCATAGAGAGGGTTCAATTATGAATAACACACAGGGATGAATTGACGTGTAAAAGGACCTAAGAGAAGAAATGTTGATACTGGGCTAGCATGGTAAGGTGTGTACTGCGTACCAGTGAGCTATTAACTGCCATAGCATACCCGTGGTCTGCTGCACCCACTGTCTCTGTGCCATCCGTTGTCTGTTTCACATACACTAGACTAGACCCATAACATTTTGATTGTCTTTTGCAGTAACGCCTATTGATAAACCTTCCGCAGCATGTTTGTTTCTAATGTGGTAAAAGTCAATATGGCTTGTGCGTCAGCACGACTGATGTTGGCAGGAACGTCCACCGCTCTAGGAGAGTGACTAACTCAGCGAGTCAGTGGCTGGCTATTTAAAAGTACACTCCTGAGTATCTTTAGGAAGAGAAGTGTTGTGCTTGGCAGTTCTCTCGCCGTAGGAATTCGGTACTTAAATATTCAACATTGTATTTTCTTAGCTTGGTTTTCTCAAAGTGTTACAAGCATGCTTTGCCCTGCTAGAGGGTTTTTTCTGGACTAATTTTTATGTATATTAGATCCAGTTAGAATGAAGGACAGGAGAGTAGTAAATAGACCTCCTAACTGTCAGGGTGGCTAAGCACTGGAATAAATTGCCGAGGGAGGCTGTGGAATCTCAAGTGTAGGAGATTTTTAAGAGCAGGTTGGACAGACACCTGTTAGGGATGGTCTAGATCAGTGGTTCTCAACCAGGAGTACGAGTACCCCTGGGGGTACGCAGAGGTCTTCCAGGAGTACATCAACTCAGCTAGATATTTTTCTAGTTATACAACAGGCTACATAAAAAGCACTAGCGAAGTCAGTACAAACTAAAATGTCATACAGCCAATGACTTGGTTATACTGCTCCATGTACTATACCAGGGTGGCCAAACTGCAGCTCGCAAGCCGCATGCGGCTCTTTTACAGTTAAAGTGCAGCTCGCGGAGACCCCCATGCCCTCCCCCATTCTCCTTCTACCCATAGGTGCTGGAACTAGGGGTGCTGCCGCACCCCCTGGCTTGAAGTGGTTTCCATCATACAGGGTTTACAGTTTGGTTCAATGGCTCTCAGCATCTCCACTATACAAATTGTTCCTGAGCCTACCACACTGGGTTGGGGGGTAGTGCTCAGGATTTCTGCCAGAGATTGCTGGGGGGGGAGGCAGAGGAGGGCACAATTTAAATTTTTTTACCCCCAACAGCTTGAGTCATCCTCCCCTTACCCTCAGGGGCCCCTCCCTGCAGCTCCCAGGTGTTAGCTCCCTGCGGTGAGGCAGTGGCAAACAGCTGGGAGCTACAGGGAGGGGCCGCTGCTCTAGCACCACAGGGAGAGGCAGCAGCAAAAGCAGTGGCTCTCCCACTTGCTTGACACTGCCTCTGCCCATGGCTGCAGCTCCCAGCTTGCCAGCGCCAGCAGGGAGGGGGCCTGGTGGCATCATGTGACCGAGTGGGGTCAGCAAACCCTGGCAAAAATCAGGGGGGACACACGACTCCATGTGCCCCCTCCCCCCCCAATGCATCACCTCTGGCTTCTGCCCAGCAGGGTCTCGGGGCTGAAGCCCCAAGACCTCCCTCCCTGCAAGGCTGGAGCCCCGGCAGGTGCACGCCGGCTCCCGAACTTCTAAAGATGGTTGTATGTGACTTGGAGGGTCAATAAGTTTGGCCACCCCTGTACTATTCGCTGAAATGTAAGTACAATTTTTATATTCCAGTTGATTTACTTTATATGGTAAAAATGAGAGAGCGCAAGCAATTTTTCAGTAATAGTGTGCTGGGGGACACTCTTGATTTTTTTATGTCTGACGTTTGTAAACAAGTTGTTTAAGTGAAGTGAAACTTGAGGGATTGCAAGACAAATCAGACTCCTGGAAGGGATTCAGTAGTCTGGAAAGGTTGAGAACCTCTGGTCTAGATAATACTTAGTCCTGCCGTGAGTGCAGGGGACTGGACTAGATGCCCTCTCAAGGTCCCTTCCAGTCTGACGATTCTATGATTCTTGGTTCCTTTGCTCACAGTTAGAGAACTGCTTCTCTTTAAACAGCTTTCCTGCTGACTGGGGAGCATGTATGGCAAGATAATGGCAATATCCAATATTGCTGCAGCATACTTGCTGTGTACAAAGAACTTTGACATGCCAGAGGTGTTCAGTAAGATTGAACAACATTCATATCCAAGATAATATTGGACTGGTCTCAGGTTGGCGCTCGCCACTGCCATGTGGCACATCTAGTCATGGTGAGGTTTTGGTCCCATGGACCAAGTCTGTAACGAATGGAGAAACTTCCTCCAATTCTAACCAATCTCATAGTTGGTTCAGCTGAACCAACTCTTTAAAACCCTTGGAGCCACGGTGTAGATCAAGTTCCAGCAGCCTGAACCGGTCTTACTAAGCTAGTCTTAAAACCTCTGGTGTGATGGGAGTTGTGTGTACACAGGGATAATGTGCCTCTAGAAGCACTGAAGTAGGTAGTCTAATCCTGTGTGGAGAGAGAAATATTGACGCAAATACAGAACACTTCCTATTGGTGGACAATACACAAGTGAAAACTTCTTGTATGCGTATTCTTGTACAAGGTTTGATCTATGCTCTAGACTATTTCAAGTGAACGTGTAGTACATGCGTAACCTCGTGGCTGGGTGACTGACTTAGCGTGTTTAAGATGCATTTGTTGAAAATTTAGTCACCACAAAGGACACCACAGGATGCTTGGAAAAGAGTGAAGCTTGAATGCAACAGAAATTAAAAAGTTCAAATTGGGTCTGTTTGAATTAGGCTTAATACCCTATGTGTTGTTATCTTGGGCCTTCTTGACTTAGTGTGGATTGTAGAACTACTTGGTTAACTTCTTCTTTGCTGTATTTTTATAAATCATTTGTAACTGAAGCTTTGTGTGTTGTCCCCAAGAATCCTTCCTTGAACTGTTCTAAGACAGTAATGCCAACACTTACTTGGGAACCTACCTTCAGTCACTCACATTTGAAAGTGGCCCAGATCTTAAAGGTGCTGCGTATCCACAGTCCTTACTGGCTGCAAGAGGTGAGATGCTATAAGGCTTCAGTAGGAGATACAAGTGCTCGGTACATCTGAAAATTGGGCTACTTAGTCAGGGATCTAATCATAGGTCATCAAAAACATTGGCTTAACTAACAAAATTCAAACATAAAGGAGCAGTTTATATTTCATCAAATAAACTAGTGGTAAAAATCAAATTGCCAATCAGTGCTCCTAACCCTTTTTCCCGTTTTGTTTCTTTCAACAGTTATGAACCAGAACTATTTCCTGGCCTTATTTATAGAATGGTCAAACCAAGGATTGTGTTGCTTATCTTCGTGTCTGGAAAAGTTGTTTTGACTGGTAAGTGATCGGGTACGTCTTCACTACCCGCCATATCGGCGGGTAGCGATCGATTTATCCGGGATCGATATATCGCGTCTTGTTAAGATGCGATATATCGATCCCCGAACGCGCTCACCGTCGACTCCGGAACTCCACCAGAGCGAGCGGCGGTAGCACAGCGTAGCTGAAGTTGCGTATCTTGGATCGATTTTCCCCCCCTCCCCCAGTGTAGACCAGCCGTTTATGTACAGCAGTAACTCGGAGCACTCTGTATACTAGGATGACATTTAAGCTACGCTGATGTTTCTTGCATAGTGCAAACACTAGCAAAATGTAGAGGCATCCCTTTCAGCAAAACATGGAGGATACAAAAGTACCATAGTTGTGTACTATTAGAACACTCCACAGGCGTTCAAATAACCACTCAAAAGAAATCCTACACATCACTAAACTTGTGCATCCTGTGGGTTTTTTTTAAATTCTCCACTTATGTCAAGGTATCAAACGCATGAGCATGCTGTTTTAATAAGCACCATAACTAGAAGCCTATTTGTAATGTATTCTGATACTCTCAGGGAACTCAATCTTACTGCAACAAAACCTGGTCATACTTTCCCTCCTCAATTAGAAAATTTCTTTATGGTTAACATAGTAGTTGCTGATGGGAAAGGAAGGTGTCTGTCCTAATTTTGGCCCGTGTTCAGCAAAGCACTTAAAATTAAGTGCTATGAAGAATCAGAACACTTGTCAATAACCTAGAATCCAAGTCTGTAAGTAAACATTAACATTCCTGGATGAATACTTCCGAGCATTCTTTCTGGAACATTTACCATCTTGGGAAAACTTCCCCTTATTCAACTTGACTAAAAAGGCAAACTGTATCTCTATCAGACATACAGGCTGAATGGTGCCAATGTACCAACATGGGTATTAGATGGTACTTTAAAGGCAAATAAAATTACATGCCTTTGCCCAAAGGATCTTCCCATCATAATTATGAATGAGCTCAATTAACTGGGCATTCAGGACAGAAAGCTAAAACATCTCCTCCTCCTTAGGTCCCATGACGTCATCCTGGCCATCTACACTCCATTGATGCCTCCAGAATACATTTTTGGATGTCATAACTACAAAAACCACAAACCACACAACAAAAAACACACTCTGCTGAGGCATACAGCAGGCCCATAAGAGCTCCGGTAAGTCCCATTTTGAAAGCTGGGCCTTACTGCAATTCTAAATCAAGACTTACTGAGCTCCTATGGTCCCCTGGCTGATCCAGAATTTTCTGGTGATCCAAACATCATGAAATAGTGTTTTGGAGCAGAGTCGATGGGTGTGTGATGTGAGGTTTATCTTTTGATGGAGGGGGAAACTAAAAAGGTTTGAGATATATCATGCTGTCCTGCAGTGCTCAGGAACATGCGTACCAACCTCAAGGCAGACTGAGAACCAGGGCACAAACCCCAAATTGGCTGAGAGTTCTATACTTGGATGATTAGTTGGTGAAATCTAAGGCTATGTCTCCACTGGAGACCTTGCAGTGGCAGAGCTGTACCAATGCAGCTGCGCTGATGTAAGGTATCCTCCGTAGCCGCTCTATGCCAGCAGGAGAGAGCTCTCCTGTCAGCATAATTAAACCACCCCCAATGAGCAGCGGTAGCTATGTTGGTGGGAGAGCATCTCCCACCAATGTAGTGCTGTTCACACCAGCGCTTCTGTCAGTGTATGTTGGTCGGGGGGGGGGGGGTGTCTTTCCCTCCACACACACCCCTGGGCGACAAATTTGAGCAACAAAAGTGCTACTGTAGACATAGCCTCCGTGTAAACTCCTCAGGCACTGCAACAGCCTAAACATGGAGTCACGGACAGTCCCATTGGCTACTCCAATCTATCTGGTCACCTAGGCGAGTCTGGCTTTGTGGTAGATGGCCCCTTACACCATGAAGCAGAGCACTGTTCAGGTTACTTCCAGTCCCAAAGGACCCGTCACTTACAGTGGTGCTGGAATGAGAGGTTTGGGGGATGCTACTGCACTCCCTGGCTTGAAGTAGTGATCACCACCACCAAATACATGGCTTCCCTCATCAGCACCTCCACTATAAAAATTGTTCCAGCATCCCAGTCACTTACCCAGGTCACGTACACCTTGGATCTCACACCAAAGACCATGCTTGTAGCCAATCCTATAATAAACTATACAAATTTATTAACTGAAATAAGCGTTCTTTTACAAGGTTAATGTAGGTAAACATAACATCCACAAATTAAGTCTTAGGTTTCAAAAGGTAAGGTTCTAGAATAGGCAAGCTCTATATATCCTGTAGAGCTAACCTCAGCTAAGCAGCTGGGGGGGGTCCCTTGCTTATGCCTAGAAACCTTGCCCCTAGAGTCCAAGCAGCAATGAAATACATTTTCTCCATTTTGTGAGGCTTTTCTTTTCCCTTTTTTTTCTCTCTCTGTGCCTCCCGCCTCCGCCCCCCCCCCCCCCCGGCCCCCAGCACGCTTCTGCTGTGAGCTGCAAACACAGCTGATGGGAGGCATTCACTTGCAAGGCTCATCTTCCTGTGGGTGGAGGGAGAGAGTAAAGTGTTTTGTCCTCTTTAATGTCTGTCTGGTATCGATGGGCCTTCCTTGTCAGGCAGGACATAACAGCTTCTGTTAACAGCTTCTGTTAGTTAATCATAGAAGATCAGGGTTGGAAGGGACCTCAGGAGGTCATCTAGTCCAACCCCCTGCTCAAAGCAGGACCAATCCCCAACTAAATCATCCCAGCCAGGGCTTTGTCAAGCCTGACCTTAAAAACCTCTAAGGAAGGAGATTCCACCACCTCCCTAGGTAACTCATTCCAGTGCTTCTCCACCCTCCTAGTGAAATAGTGTTTCCTAATATCCAACCTAAACCTCCCCCACTGCAACTTGAGACCATTACTCCTTGTTCTGTCATCTGCTACCACTGAGAACAGTCTAGCGCCATCCTCTTTGGAACCCCCCTTCAGGTAGTTGAAGGTTGCTATCAAATCCCCCCTCATTCTTCTCTTCTGCAGACTAAACAAGCCCAGTTCCCTCAGCCTCTCCTTGTAAGTCATGTGTCCCAGCCCCTTGATCATTTTCATCTCTTTCCTATCTGGTGACTTACACCGTTACAAAGGCTTACAATGCAAATGCTCAAATACTGCCTTACAACATGGGATATGGATGTAATAAGTGAGAATAATGCCTGCAGCAACTCAAAATCTAAACACTAAGCACATTCTTAGAATTGTACCTATTTGACAATTACTGACACGCAGCTGAAATCAGTCTGGCTCACCTGTGTATTTGGCATTGTTCAGTTGAGGGAGGGGGACCTTGGTATGAGCTGGCACCTAGTCTGCCAGCATGACAAGGCACACATGTTGGCGTGTCTTAGTCTGGCTAGAGGTCCATTTCAGTGCATATTGCTTATTTTTAGTGTTTGCTGGTTGCTCCTCCATGCTAATGTTAATGTCCGCAACAAATGTTCTTGGCCTCCATGGTTTTGTTAATTAAAAAGTTAGTATGGTAGTGGAGATGTCACTGGATTAGAGACTGCCGGCTGATTCTATATGAATGATGCAAGAGACAATAAAAACTTAATCAAGGCACTGAGGGGTAGGAGAAATGCTCTAGAGTTGGGAAACACTGCTGGTCAATATTCATAATACTGAGTACTTGAATGCAAAACCAGGGGAGATTATCCCTGCCTACCCTCGTATTTTGTTCCATTTTTGACTCTAACTAGAATGTCCCATTAACCTGTCAACACTGGACTTCTCTTGATCAGTCTCTTTCTAAAATTATTCTCATGAATGTTGACAAATGCAAAGCAATGCACTCTGGAAAACACATTTCCAACTATCCATGCAAAATGATGGGGTCTAAATTAGCAGTTGCACTCATGAAAGAGATCTTGGAATCGTTGTGGATGGTTCTTGGGAAAAATCTGCTCAATGTACAGTGGCAGTCAAAAAAGCTAACAATGTTAGGAACCATTAGGAAAGGGAAAGATAAGATAGAACATATGTCAGTATATAAATACATGGTATACCCACACCTTGAATAGTGAGTGTAGTTCTGGTTGCCCCATCTCAAAACAGATAAATTTAGAAATGGAAAGGTACAGAGAAGGGCAACAAAAATGATTAGGGGTGTGAAACAGCTTCCGTATAAAGAGAGAGTAAAAAATCTGGGACTATTCAGCTTGGGAAAGACACAACTAAGGGAGGGGATATGAGAGAGGTTTATAAAATCATGAATGGTATGGAGAAAGTGAATAAGGAAGTGGTATTTACCCCTCCATATAACACAAGAACCAGGGGTCATCCACTGAAACTAATAGGCAGCAGGTTTAAAACCAAGAAAAAGAAATACTTCTTCACACATAGCAGTCAACCTGTGGAACACGTTGCCAGGGACGTGGTGAAGGCCAAAAGTATAACTGGATTCGAAAAAATTAAATTCATGAATGACAGGTCTATCAATGGCTATTAGCCAAGATGGTCAGGGACACAACCTCAGGCTCTGGGTGTCCCTAAACCTCTGACTGCCAGATGCTGGGAGTGGACAATGGGATGGATCACTTGATAATTGACCTATTCTTTTCATTCCCTTTGAAGCATCTGGCATTGGCCACTGTTGGAAGACAGGATACCGAGTTAGATAGACCATTAGTCTGACTCACTGTGGCTGTTCCTTTGAATGTTTCATAACATAACTGTACATTAATTGCTGACTAATTAGTCAGTCCTACAACTAATAGTGATGGGGATGCTGCATCCAAATTTGATCTGAAAAATTATGGGATTCATACACTCTTCTATTAAATAATAATAAAAAAAAGACTAATATTAACTAGTAGAAACAATTCCAGGGAATTTTAAAAAGCTCCCTGGGGCACTGTATTCTCTTTTTTAAAAAATGTAGTATTCCTTTATGGTATAAGCCACTCCAAAAATCAGAGCAGTATTCCACTGCAAGAACCCAAAACGAAAGATCAGATACTGACTAGTCTAGCTCCCCCCCCTGCCCCCCCCGAAGATGAGAACAAGGGGGGAAAAAACCTACTGTTTTAAGAATATAAGGTGGTGATGGTATCGTGGAAAGGAATCTTGCTTCTTAAATTATATCTCATTTTGACTATGCCCCTAAAAGAGATTTTAAATAAGAACCTTTTTTTTTCCATCCATTTTTTCTAGTACTTATTGGTGTTGACTTAATAGTAATGAATGAGACCTTGTGAGCCATCTTTAATATTGTCTGAGTTCTTAAACTGTTTTTAACTGTTTTTTCTAGGTGCCAAGGAGCGTTCTGAAATCTATGAGGCATTTGAAAACATCTATCCTATTCTAAAGGGTTTCAAGAAAGCGTCTTAAAATTTCTTTCCAAAAAAAATCAAGAGGAATATATAGGTTTGTATGTTTATGCATGGAACCAATGTAACAGTATTCCTATATCTAAATACAGATTTGTGGATTACTAGGCCTATAAAGCCATTTTGAACACACTATAAACTATGACTAGATAGATGCACTCTTTTGTAAGTAGCATGAAACAATTTTGCTGTAAAACTTGATGTTTCTAATGAGTTTGGTCATTGTATCAAGTTCTGTTAAAGAATTCACAATAAGCAAAAGTACATTTACTTTTGAACAGGAATGTAAATTAGCACCATTATTGCACTAAAAAATATTTTACAGTACAATTAATGGAAATCTGTTTTTCTGCAGTAGAATGGATGTATCCATGGAGGTTAGTCCATAGATCAGTCTAGTTAAAATCCATAAGGTTTTGATCAATATTTTGTAGCTCTGACAGCTAATTTCATGTTAATTGAGACCTTATTTTTGTGTATAATATATCTTACAAAATTTAATGCGAGCCTTTTTACTCGTGTCAAACATCCAGACACATGAGTTCACAAATGATCTTTGTATCATTCTCTGGCTCAGAGAATGATACAAGATCAGGTGAATTATGTCATATGGTGCTGTTGACACTCCCCTCACTGACAATAAGTGAAGACCCTTGGTGGCACTGGGTCAGGGTAAAGTTGTCAATGAGGGCTAGTGTGAGTGTCAGCTGAAAACTGACAAGCTACCTGTTATCTTAAAATCACCAGCCATAGTGGACACAGGTTCTACGAAGTATCTGGAGTTGGGTTTGGACAAGTAAAGGGTAATCTAAAATCTGATAAAAAGAACAGGAGTACTTGTGGCACCTTAGAGACTAACAAATTTATTTGAGCATAAACTTCAGCCCACGAAAGCTTATGCTCAAA